AGGGGAATAGTGGCACATACCCATAATCTCAGCACTTGGGGAGGCTAAAGCAGGAGGATCTTAATTTTCAGCCTAGCCTGGGTTACTAGGCAACTCAGGAAACTTTCAAAATAAAAAAAATCTGGGGATGGGATCATTGGGAAGGCCTTGGATTTAATCCTCAGGACAGAAAGAAGAAGAGAAAGACACACACACACACACACACACACACACACACACAGAAAGAGAACACAAATGGTAAACTAGAGTTCATCAAAATAGCATTTGCATTGTGAAAGACTCTGTCAAGAGGATGCAAAGACTACACACTGGGAGAAAATAGTAGCATTACATATATCTAACAGAGAACTAGCAGCCAGAATGTATAAAGAATTCTCAAAAATCCAACATTTAAAAACCCAACAATCCAATTAGAAATTAGGGAAAAGGTGTAAAGAGACATTTCACCAAAGGAGATGGAAGATAAATAAGTGAGAAGGTTTGTAATATCACTATCCATTAGAGAAACAGTCTTGAGATCATCAAGACGCTGTTGAGGTATTAGAGTGTTCTAAGATATTGGGTCAGCTAAAAATTTTAAAAACAGCAGCCACGGATGTTGGTGAAGATGAGGAAAATCCTGAATTTTTCACACATTGATGATGGGAATGCAAAATGGTATAGGCACAGTAACAGAGAGTGCAACGGTTTCCTACAAAAACAAACTGTACTACTGTAATATAACTCAACAACTATTCTTCTGGGCATTTATCTCAGAGAAATTAAAGCTTATGTTCTCACAAAAACAGGCACATGATTGTTCACGGAAGCTTTATTAATAATAACACCAAACTGGAAACAATATAAATGTCCCTTCATAGATTAATCCAGGGGGCAGAAGAGTAAAAAAAAAAGAGGTTGAGGACCAGATATTGTATTGTCCTCAAGGTCAAGCATTCATTACTCACTCAGACACTCCCAGAAGTGTATTTTATTAGTCTCCCAAGCATAGTTCAAGCCGATCAGACTGACATTAGCCATTGCACCCAATTTTATGCTGCCTATATAAAGGCCCACTCTAAACATGATTCAAATAGGTTAAAAGTGAAAGATCACTTCTGGTGTGGACAAGGTGGCATAGGCTCAACTCTTAAACTCTAGAAATAATGCTAGGGGCAACTAAAAGAGAACTCTGAAAGGTGGTAAGAGGAAGATGAACTGCCTGGTGACTAGAGCTAAAGGAACCACACAATGGCAGGGAATGGTACGTCTTCCACTTGACAAGGGAAGATGATGCAGACTGTGTTTTCTGACCCCCCAAATAGTAACAGAGATGCAGGGTGGGCTCATACCCTGCATCTAATGGTCCCCTCTGACCCTAATCAGAGGGTTCACTGGGAGAGTTCTCATTGTCACCAAATTATTGACTAAGCAGGAGTCCTGCTAATACCAAGGCAGGTGATGTATTCTTCTTGTCTTCCAAACCATGTGAAGGCAGCAGGGGGTCATCGGCAAGAGGAGTCTTATTGCAATAAGCAGCCTGGCCTACAAAGCCTCTGTGAGGACAGAGAACATGTCTTCCAATAGAAATGTTGGAGGAAAACTGATTTTTAAATTCATTTAATTGAAGCACCACTAGAAAACGAAAATAGTCTTGTCTTGTCCACCAGTCTCTCATGATTTAAGGATCAGACGTAAAGTGGGCATAGTAGCAATGCTGATAATCCCAGTCACTCTGGAGACTGAGGCAGGAGGATCACAATTAGAGGCCAGCCTCTAACAGAGGCTGGGTAACAGAATGAGATCCTGTCACAAGATAAAATTTTAGAAAAGGGCTAAGAATGTAACTCAGTGGAAAAGACCCTGGGTTCAATCCCCAGTGCAGAAAAATAATCAGTCTTAAGAATTTGGGGTGAGGGGGCTGGGGATTTAGCTCAGCGGCATAAGTGCCTGCCTTGCAAGCAGGCAGTCGTGAGTTCGATCCCTGGTACCGATAAAAAGGAAAAAGACGGAAAAAAAAAAAAAAGAATTTGGGGTGAAGGCTTTCTGGGCTCTGTGTGGACTTTGAGAATGAGTGAGGGTCTAGGGACTAGAATAACACATCCATCTGTAGTTAGGCCTTGGCTCATACTGTGTCAGAATTAACTGGGAGACAGTAGAGACAATGTATTGTGAACAAGGTAACATTAGAAGATAGTTTGTTTTTACTTCTTTCATTTTTTCTTGTTTTATCAACTTTTCTAGTGTCCATATTCTATGGTTTGAATGTGTCCCCCAAAGCTTCATGTGATGGAAGATTGGTACCCAGTGTGGCAGTGCTGAGATAGTGGAAACTTTAGAAGGTAATATCCAGTGGGAAGTAATTGGACCATGGGATCTTCACTCTCAGAAGAGATTAATTAGTTTTAAATGTTAAATAGTTAATAGTTTTAAATAAATTAGATTTTAAAGATTAAATAGTTTTCACAGCTGTGAGTCAGTCCTTGTTGGAAAGTGAGTCTATTCCACACCTTTGGCCCTTTCTGCTATCAGGCATTTTCTTTTCTGTTTGTCTGCAGTTATGAACGAACTGCAACGAACTTCCCAGAGGATAAACAGTTGGGACGCTCTGATCTTGAACTTTCTACCTCAAAAACTGTGAGTGGAATATATCTCTTTATAAGTCACCTAGTCTGAAGTATTTTACTATACTAATAGGAAATGGACTATGACATTACATGCATAACATTTGCATTGAGATAGCAAATACTTAACAAGATAGGGAAGCAGTGGCTACGCAGGGTCTAGGGCCAAGCTGTCTGGGCTTGAATCCTCCCTCTAGGACCCTGGACTCTGACTGAATAGATCAGTTCCCTCCGCTACAAGATGGAAAGATAAGGACACCTCCTTTCTTGCTGCAAATTGAATATTCTTTGTCTAAGATACTTGCGACCAGAAGTCTTTCAGATGAAAGATATTTTTTAAGATTTTTGAATATTTACATAGATGTTATTGATTGACCCCCCACTAATCTGAAAGTCTGAAATCCAAAACAAGCACCATCATGCTGGTGCTCAAAAAGTTTTGGATTTTAGGACATTTCAGATTTTGGATTTTTAGATTAGGTATGCTCATATTACATTTTGAAATTATACATTTTTTGGTGGGATCTTTTTTTTTTTTTCTTTCTCGGTACCAGGGACGGAACTCACGATTGCCTGCTTGCAAGGCAGGCGCTTGTGCCGCTGAGCTAAATCCCCAGCCCCGAAATTATACATTTTTTAAAGTAATAATTTTCTAACTGATTTTTGCCAAGGTATGAAAATGCCACTACATTTAATTCTAATAACTTATTTGCAGATGATTTTGAGTGTTGCATGTACATAATTATATCATTTACAAGTAATGAAAATTTTGGGTTTTTTCTTCCTAAATTCTTATACCCCGTTTTTTTTTCTTGTCTTTCTGCACTGGTTAGAATTTCTTGTAGCATGTCATTGAAACTCTTGCTAGGTGTGGTGGCCATGCCTTGTAATCCCAGTGCTCAGGAGGCTAAGGCAGCAGTATCACTGAGAGTTCAATGCCAGCCTGGGCTACATAGCGAATTTGAGACCAGCCTGAACTGTATAGCAAGACCCTGTCCCAAAGCGAAATGAAACAAAACCAAACTAAACGAAGGCTTATTGGTAGATATTTACATCAAATTTCTGATCTCTCAGGGACCGCTTTCATAATTTATTGGTAGATTCTACTAGCTTCTATTCATATTTTTACTATTTATTTGAATGTGAATGTGTTGAATTTCAATGGGTATTTTTTCTGCACATGTTGAAATTCTTGTAGTTTTTATTGTTAATGTTATGATTGCATTATATAATTTTATAATTTTTTACCACTTTCCCATTTTTGAGATAAGTCTACCTTGATTATGATAATTTATCTTTTTATACATTATTGGATTCAGTTTGTATCTGTTTGTGAGTGTGATTTACTGGTAATTTTATTTTTTGTCTTATTCTTGGTCAGTTTATATATCAAGATGATGTTAGCTTTTCAAAAATGAAACAGGAGGGCCAAGCGCAGTGGGGCAGGCAGGAGAATCTCAAGTTTGACACCAGCCTGGGCAAATTACTGAGGCCCTGTCTAAAAAATTTTAAATATTAACAGGGGCTCTGGATGTAGCTCAGTGGAAGAGCATGTACGTAGTATGTGTGAGGCCCTGGGTTTCATCCCCAGCATCTTCCCTGAAAAAAGAAAGCGAGAAACAGAGAGGAAGACAAGAGACAGAACAGACAAAGAAATGAGCATACATTTATTACTCTTCTCTTTTTCTTATTAATGCTTCCAGGAACTTATCTTTATATTTGTGTTTCCAACAAATCAGCATTTGCCCTTGCTACCTTACATTTTGTTTTATCTACATTGACACACAAATAGTATTTTCTCTTAGGAGTATCTTTCTTTTCTTTGACCTTCGAAATTTAAACAAAAAAGGATTAGGAAGATCTCTTGTTCTGTCTTTAACATGGTTTGTCTCTATTCAAATCACAATGAGTCTTAAGACCACTCCCAAGCAACAGTGTTTGGGGGAGTCCTGTGGGACGCATTTGTGGGAATAACATTTTCATCAACAGGTTCACCTCTGCTCAAGGAAGGAAGGAAAAGAGAGGGAGTTAGGTCTCCTTCCCCCAGGGGTGGGTTAGTTGCCACAGGCAGGTTGTTGTCTAGCAAAGCCACCCCTGTATTTCATCTTTTCTTCCATTTTCTTTTCTCTTTCTGCCATACTTTGAAGTCACACAAAGCCCTCATCAAAGGCCAAGCAGATGCACTCGTGGACTTCCAGAAACATGAGCCAATCTTTTTTTTTTTTTTTTTTTTTTTGGTACCAGGGATTGAACTCACGACCTCACACTTGCCTAACAGGCATTTATGCTGCTGAGCTAAATCCTTAGTCCACATGAGCCAATCTTCATGAATTATCCAATCTCAGCTGTTTTGCTTTGGCAACTTAGAACGGACTAAAACATTGCCTATAGTTAAAATTCTTTTCTCCTTTTTCTTCATCTGGAGTGCCTGGCTCTTTTACATATTTTGTGATTACAGGTACATTTGGATTTCTTTGCAACATCTTATATCCAATTCCTCCCACCCACTCTGCTTTTCTGTCTCCTTTTGAATTGATGTGTCTATGTGTGTGCATATACTCGCGTGTGCTTCTTGTTCTGTTTTTCTTTCTACCTTCTTGGCAACTTCTTTCCCTGTGTGTATTTCAGTGTTTATCCTTTAAAGTTGTAATAATGCTTGAAATTTTGTCCTTTTCCCACCCAATACCAGAAACTTAGGGTGTTTTAGCCTTGTTCCTCGCCACCAGCTCACACATGCTGCCCCGTGCTCCACGTAGCTGTGCCTGGTGAGGGCTGGGAAGAGGAAGCCCCCATCCCTGCCTCCCTGACCTCCTCAGACTGTGGCCGTGCCCAGCCTGGCAGACAGACAGCCCAAAAGCCCAAGAGCAGGAAACCGGTGCAAACACAGGGCGGGCACCCACACTGTTCCCAGGAGTCAGACCTCAGATCCTATCTGACACTCCCCTGCCTTTGTCCAGCACTTGGGACTTGGCGCTCAGGCCTGATCTGGATCAGTATTTGCCCAAACAAGGAGCCAGCCAGAGCTAGACATCCAGGGAGAGGGCAGACTGTGCTGAGGACATAAGCGCACTCTCAGGCTTGCAGCCTTCCCTGGATCTGTTCTCAGGCAGCCAGCGTGCCCTAGAAGGACATGTTGTGCCTTCCTGCTTCTTCATGGCCCTGGAGAGGCCGGCAAGACTAAGGTGCTTGCTGACATGTACACCTTGGTCCCTTGGCTCCCCTTCTTTGTTTCCTGCAAACACTCCCTGATCTTCACACTGTCACCAAGGAGGCTGGGGATACCTTAGCTTGTGACTGGCCTTGGCTGGGTCTGTCCCTGAAGCATGTGCTGGCTAAACATGTGCACACACTGTAGAGGACCACTGCAAATCCTATGCTCACTTATTTCCATCCATGTTCAAACATACCACGCTGGAGAGGGGAGGCAAATATACCCTATAGACTCAAGTGATGAACAGAGCCATCCAGCTGGGGAGCTGGGAAATTGCTGAGAGGAGCTAATCTTTCCAGCGGGCTTACAGAAATGAGTAGGGACTAAGGCAAAAGTGGGAACAGGCATTCAGGAAAGGAGAGACCTGGGCTTGAGTAGTAACAAGCACTGGTACGTGGGGATGGGACAACAGCAGAGCAGTGAGGGAGCTGGCGCAGCTGGGATGAGGTTGGTAGTAGCCTGGAAGAGACTCACCATGCCAAAGCTGAGAACTGGGACTGCCATGGAGTTAAAGTTTCCTAGAAACTGGTGTTATAACTTGGGCCCCGGTATAAAATCCAAGGAGGCAAGAGACCGAAAATTTAGGTGGCAAAGGCTTTATTTCCAGGCCTGGCGACCAGTCTCCGGGAGCCAATTTGGAGACTGTGTCCCAGAGACTGAAGGGAGGACTTTAAAAAGAGGCTGGAGGAAAAGGGTGCGGGGAGGAACAAAGAAACCTGCAGAGCCACCAAACTTGTTGACCCGAGTCTGGAAATTGTATTGCTGTCCACTTAGCTCTGACAATCTCAGGAGTTCCTGGTGTTTCTCAAATTACTCCCATCCTACAGACTGACATTATCTCGGAGTGGCACATCTGCAGCAATATTTGGAGAAGAAAGTGGGGAAGTTAATTATCCCAGGACAGCTCGTTTTCGCTAGTGGGTGCGAAGGGGTCAAGAGTTACAAGAAGCTGAAACTTAAGTTTTACAAAAGATCTGATATCTAACTCATTTGATGCATACAGAACAAAAGGAAAGCACCAATTGGGGTTTGGGCCATAGTATTTCCCGGTAATTTCTTTGAAGCTAAACAGTTCTTAAAATTTGGGGCAGGTTCATTTTATGACAGATCATCACCAGGTCGGGAGGAGGTCACCAGAAACCCAAATTCTTTATGGCCTAGATAGATAGGTGAGGGGAGAGGGAGGCAATAAGGCGCCATACAGAACAGAAAACGGCGGTTATGTGTCAAGGTCAGGGTAAAGGGTTAAACTCATACGCAAATCTCTCTGCACACAAGCAGGTTACTTTAAACAAGTATAAATTAATGAGCCATTCTAGTTTTCTTTAGCTCTTTAGTGGAGAATAGAGGCGCCTAACAGTGATTAACAACCCTTGTTAGCTTGTTTTAGCACAACTTCTGTAGTTTGGAGAGGGCAACAATGGTTAACATATCAATTAGGTGAGATTCTTGCAATTCTTTACAGAGGAGAGTATTGCTCAACATATTAATTAGGTCACTTAACATATCAGTTAGGGAAAAAGGATAAAAAAAACATTTAGTAAGCCACTTTACAGGTTTGCTATAATACACATATAACGAAGCTATTTTCTTAGAGTACAACACTAGCATTTGACAATGGTCACATGGTCACATCTAGCTGTAAAGAAAGGTGAGATGGTCACATACTACCGTTTGGCTGGGTTTGATATAATTGGAATGTGAATTGAATTCTCCAATTCCCATGCTTTAGTTGGAAACTTGGTTCCTGGTGTGGTAGTGTTAGGAGGCAGGGCTTGGAGAGTTGATTAGATCATTGGGGGTGCTAACTCAAAGGGAGCAAGGTAGTTATCATGGGTTGTAAGGTAGCTCTCATAAAGTTAGTTGTCAAAAAAAGTGAGGCTGACCTGTGAATTGCTGCCTGGGTTCCTGTTTCATGTGATCTCTCCCTCACATGCATGCTCCCAGCACGATGCCATTTACCATGTGAGGCCCCCAGGGGGCCCTTACTAGAGGCTGACTCAGCAAACTAAAAGGTGAACTAAATAAACCTCTTCCCTTTATAAAACATTAGCCCAATGGTAGTGAGCCTATGGCACATGTGTTGTAGCTGGCTATTTGTATCATTGAAAGCTTTAAAAGGTTCACCTATAGCAAACAGCAACACAACACCCAGGATTTGGAGGCAGACTTATTTAACATTGGACGAGCACTGATAGGGAATCAACTGTCCCTCAAAATATCAGGCCCTCATCTCTGGTAGTCTAGGACCTATATGGGATAAGCAAGCAGGAAGTACAGAAGCAGAATGGTTGTCATTTGGGGATTGGTTTTCACAATATACATCATAGTGACCATCTATGCATCACAGTGACCAGCTGTTTCTAAGAAATAAGTGGCAGAAACTGAAACTATTCCCTGGGCAATTAACAAACTGAAGTATACTGCCTGGTGGGAGGCATCTTCTGCTACACCGTCACTGAACTAAGCCTTAACTATTTTATTATAGCAGCAGAAAATGGACTAATTCACTTGAGACTTAGCAAACTTAGAGCCTTCTAGACCCATGAGATCTGCTGCCAGATCCTCAACTGTGACTGGCCCAAGCTCGGGAACAAAGAGGCAAGAGTCAGCAGTAGGGTGACTCTGTGCAATCCCCAGTGCCACAAACAAAACCAAATAACAAAGAGCCGGAATCAAAGCAGGGTCGGGGCTGCTAGACTAGGAAAAAGGTTATGATACTGGACAGAATGTTTACTCTCCCCAAGTCCCATTTAACAGAACAGTGAAGTTATTGAAAACGAATAAACCTGTATCAATATGGGAAATAATAAAGATCGTCAGTCGATCAGAAATTCTGAAGGAGTTTGGATAGTTTTTGGGAGAAAGGGAGTGGATAAGATCACAATGAGGGATAAACCAGGGCTGAGTTGAACACCAGCAAGAAGCTACACAGCGAAAGGGGCCGTGGGCCCCGGAGAAGAAGGACTGCAGCATTAGCATTGGCCCTTACAACTGTTTTGTGAGTCAAATGACGAGATTTCCATCTGACTCATAGTCCTCAATAATTTCTCATGATGTATAAAGATTTTTAACTTTATGTTTTGTTTTTGTAGATTCTTTAGGATGTTCTACATACAAGATCATGCAATCTGCAAAAAAGATAGTTTTATTTCTTCCTTTCCAGCTGGGATGACTTGTATTTCTTTTTCGTATGTAATTGCTCTGTCTAGAACCTCTAATGCATGTTAAGTAGAAGTGACAAGAGTAGACATCTTTGTCTTGTTGATAATTGCAGAGAGAGAATTTTTAGTCTTTTACTGTTAGAAATGATGGTAGCTGTGGGTTTTATCAGATTATGTTCCCTTATATTACTAGTTTATTGCATGGCTTTATCATGAAAATATGTTTTATCTTTGTCAAATGCACCTTTGGCAAACTTTTCTGTGTCTATTTAGGTGATCTTATGTTTTTTCCCCATTTATTCTATTAATATGATGTATTATACTGATTGAGTTTTGTGCCAACTTTGTATTCCTAGGATAAACTCTACTTGGTTGTGGTATATAATCCCTTTAATACATTGCTAAATTCAGTGTGCTAGATTTGTTGAAGATTTTTTGCATCTATTTTTTTGCTGTTGTTTTTGAGACAGGGTCTTGCTAGCTAGTCCAGGCTGGCCTTGTGCTCACTATGTAGCCCAGGTTGGCCTTGAACTTGTGGCAATCCTCCTGCCTCAGCCTCTTGAATTCTGGGATTACTGGCATGAGTCATCGCACCTGACCTGCATCTACTTTTTTTTTAGTACCAAACTCATGACTTTGCGCTTGCCAGGCAGGCACTTGTGCCACTGAGCTAAACCCCAGGTCCTGTTGAATCTACTTTCTAAGGGACCTTGGTCTGTATTTGTCTTATGGTAGCTTTCTCTGGCTAAAACTGGCCTAATAGAATCAGTTAGAAAATATTCCCTCTCTTACATCTTCAGAAGCATTTGAGAAGTGTTTCTATTAAAACTTTTAAAAATATGTTTGTAGTATTTAATAGCCCATCTGGTCCTGGGCTTCTCTTTGCTAGAAAAAAAATTCTATTACTAACTCAAAATTCATCACATTAGGGAAAATTTTATCTGTTATTTCTTATTGAGAATTGGCCATTTTTGAATGTTTTTCCTAGTTTTCTGTAAGCCTTTGGTTCTAAGAAAGTTTTAGAGTTTTTGTCAACTTTTTCATTGCTTTTATGGAGGGATGAAATGTGGATGTTTTTACTCCTCTATTTTCACTAATGTCATTCCTTAGTTGAGTTTTTGATGGAGCAAACATAATGTCTTAGTTGAGGATTTATATACAGTTATGAAGAGAGGTATAAGTATGATGATTCCAAAATTTAGTGTACTTCAGAATTAACCAGGAAAAAAGAATTAACTAGGGGTGATGACTAAAAATGCATGTTTTTTATTTTAAAATGCACTAATTAGTAACATGCATTTTTAACACATTACTAACCACAAATTCTAAAAATTATAATCTTGGGCCAGGTAATCTGCATTTTAAGCAGTTGTTCACAAGGACCCTCTTTGAAGACACTGGATTAGAAGAAATAAAAGCAATAAACAAATTGACAGGCTGAGATGAGGGATGTTGCATGCATGTGTTCATTTTGCATTTTTTATAGGCTACAGTCAGACAAACTCCATACTATCAGAGAAGTTAAGACATGGGGTGTACACTTCACAGCTGGGGAGTTACCCACAGTAAGAGCAATAGTTAAAGAGAGGCCACCTCCAGGAGCAGAGCTGGAGTGAGACAGGACAATGTTTACATTTTTTCTTTATTGTTTGAGCTCTTTTCCTCAGATGCAATTGTTAATTTATAACAAAACACATACAAATAAAATGATGGGATGTCAGTAGAAAGGGGATGTTGGTTAACAACACCATTTTCCTTCTGTTGTAACCAGTACAATCCTGCCTGCCAACCATTCAGCATGTACCGCGGATGGGGTGTGTCTTGGCACATGAAGGGCATTTTGCAGCTGGGCTGCTCTCTTGCAGCATGGCCATGCCCTATCACCTGCCTCTTGAGGCAGGCGCAGGTGAGAGAGTTAGAGCAAAATGAAGAGGACACTGGGATATAAGGCATTGTTGGTTAGCTGCTGCCCAACAGCTGCAAGCTGGAACCACAGAACCTGGATTCTCAGCCCTGAGAGGGATCTTCTGAGGAAGCACAGTGACCCAGTCCTTTTTTTTTTTTTTTCACAAAGTCCTCACATTAAAGACCCAGTTCTTTTGAGAAACAGCAGTCTTTGGGGCTTAAAAACATAAATATTTAAAAAATATTTTTAAAGAAAAATAAATTAGAAATTCAAACGAACAGATAGGATATTATACAACATTGAGAACACTCTGTAATCCTAGAAGTCTCAGAGGCTGAGGTAGGAGGATTAAAAATCTGAGTTTAGGGCTGCGGATTTAGCTCAGTGGCTTAAGCACCTGCCTGGCAACTGCAAGGTTGTGAGTTTGATCCCCGGTACCAACTGGGATTAGCCTGAGCAATTTAGTTATTGAGAGTGACCATGGGCAACTTAGTGACTTAGCCTCAAAATAAATACTAAAATGCTGAAGATATAGTTTAGTCAATGCCTTGAGTTCAGTCATCAGTACCAGCATGGTGGTGGTGGAGAGGAACACACAAAAACATAGGCATAAAGTAAAAAACAAACTTTGCTTGGAAGCTGGCTGTGGCAGTTGGCTTACACTCATACATGGATTCACCAGCCAACTGTCTCAGAGGTCTGGGAAGAGGTCATCCTCACAGGATGTCCAGGGACCCAGAGTTCTGGAATATGCAAGCAAGGGTGCTGCTTTTGGAGTAGGGTGTGACAGAGGTGTCTCCCTAACAGCACGCGTATCTTGCTTCCTGACCCCTGCTCAGGGCTTTTGGGTGAAGTTTATCTAGACTGTGCAGCCTGAAACCTTTCAGTTCAAACCCAGTGCCAGAAACTCAGTTCCTTTCCATGGTGGAGGTGTTTCTCTCTTCCAAAACATCCTGTGCCGTCCTGGAAAGTGCCTCAAAACAGAAAAGTGAGTAATTCACCTTGTCCATAGTGCCCAGAGTCCATGGGGGCTAGGAGGAGGACACCCATGGGCAGGAGGCAAGGCTGTGTGTGGCCTAGGGGACCAACAATGCCAATCCTCTGATGAGCAGAGAGACTGAGTTGGAGTCAGTGTGGGGAGCTTTTGTCACAGTGCTGTGAGAATTCAGGGTGGACCTCTTGGTGGGGTAAGGGGAAGCCTTCTCAGGTGGAAGAGCACTGAAGAGGGGCCTTTGAAGGGCAAGTTTCAGACTAATCAGCCTTAAATAAAAGAGGGGGATATTCTCTAAAGAACAGTCTTAGCCTGACTGTGGTGCATACCTGTAATCCCAAGTACTCAGGAGGCTGGAGGAAGAGGATTGTAAGTTCCAGACTAACCTAGGCAACTTAATATAAGATCCTGTTTCAAAATAAAAAACAAAACAATGGTGGATGTAACTCCGTGGTAGAACAGTGTGAAGTTGTGGGTTCAATCCCTAGCACCATAAACATTAAAACAAAAAAAATTATGATATTTTCAGGGGAATAAGCAGGGAGCATTGCAATACAGAATACATATGCCATAGAAATCCTGGGCATATTTGAAGAGTCCAGAGTAAAGAGACAGTGTTAAAAGCAGAATGAGAAGGGTTATGTGAGACGTGTTGAACCACAAGCACCTATGGCTGCAAAGATCAGTAACAAGATGGCATCAGCCCAAGACTGGGTGACAGTTGCTAGACACATGACATAGTGAGGTGGGTCATTAGAGCCCTTTCTATCGTCTTTTCTTCTTTTGGTACTGGTGATTGAGCCCTCCACCACTGAGCTACACTCCATGACCTTTTAATTTTGAGACAGGATTTTAAAAAGTTTCCCAGGTTGCCCTCAAGAAGCAGGTAGCAGAGATCCTAGATGTGTGCCATTTCACTGTACTGCATCGACCGTCATTCATGACAGCTCTTATTATTAAACGTGCATTTCTAAAATCCTCTCCTTCATAACCTGGCAACTTCTTCTTTTTCTCTTCTTCCTCCCTCTTCCTTCTCTTCCTCTTCTTTCTTTTTCTTCTTCCTTTCAGAGACTGGGTCTTTGTAAGTAGCCCAGGTTGAATGTGATATATAACTCACTGGCCCCAAACTCATAATCTTCCTACTTAAGCCTCTTGAATGCTGGGATTATAAACATGAGATACCATTTCCAGCTTCTTCCAGACTCTCTCTCTCTTTCTCTCAGGATTTGATAAAAATTATTTCATTTTTATTCTGACAGATTTTGCAGGACACAGGAAGTGGCATGTCCTGCTTTATTCTTAGCAGACAGGAAGGGGCAGTGATGTGACTTGTCCCTCTCAAGCCAGTCTCGCCTCTTGTTCTGCAAGCTTCAGAAAATAGCTCTAGGAGGCCCAGGAAATCCTCCAGGCAACACCAGAAATGACTGCACCTAGTGACCCCACCAGGTCTCCATTCACAAAGCAAACACTCTGCTCTTTACAAAAACCTTTGTCTCCAGTGGGATTATTCTGTTCAGAGGGCAGTGTGAGCACCAACTTTGCCTTCTGTTCCCCACATGTTCTGTTTCCCACATTGGTTCAGCTTCTTTACCTGCCAGATGGGTTCACACGTGTGTCCCAAGTGACATCACAGTGGCAAAACCCATCTAAACTGAGCAATCTGTGACATACCAGTGACTACATCAGCAAGTGTACACACATGGCAGTTGCAGAGTGCTGGGCAGGGGACACACAACTGATGCCTCCTTGTACTTACCTGCTAGTCCCCACCACCACCACAGAGGGAGGACAGAGCCATGGCATGGCTAGAAGTGGCAGCAGTTGGTCTGCGGAGGGGCTCTTGGCTGCTGCTATTCTGTGTCTGTGTTAGTCCATGAGAATATGATTTGCAATCTCTGTAGCTCGGAGTCCAGCAAAGAGCCAGACACTTAATTCCAGTAAATATCTGTTTAAATAGAAGCTATGTACTTCTGATTATGTACATAGAACAGGCTGTTATTATAGCTGCAAGGGTTATGGATGAAAATATTAGAAAAGCACTAGCCAGTCCCCAGCTGATGCAATAAAAGGAATAGTGACAGTACTTGGGTCAGAATGACCAACTACTTCCTTCATATCATAATAAAAGATTCAAGAGTGGGGGTAGCCCAGTGGTAAAGTGCTTTCTTAGAACATACAAGGCCTAGGGTTCTGGCCTTAGCACTGCCCCTCGCCCAAATTTTTTTAAAGAAAAATAAATTAAAGATTCAAATGAACAGACAAGACATTCTACAACATTGAGAACACTCAGAAGGAACTATTGTCTGTTGTTATTTTTGTTGTTATCGTTTTGCTTTTGCTGTTTTTTGATGGCTTGTTTGCTTCTTGCTTCCTCTGTTTTTTCTCTTTAAAATAAAAAAGGAACTACCAAAGGTATAAATCTATCTCTTCTCAAAAGTGTATATTTTGGGCCAAAGATTTAGCTCAGTACCCTAAGCGCCTGCCTGGCAAGGATGAGGTTATGAGTTCAATCCCCAGTACCAAAAAAAAAAAAAAAAAAAAAAGTATATGTATTAGTTTTCCATTGCTGCAGCCATACTAAATCACCATAGACCCAGCGGCTTAAAACAACACAAGCTTATCATGTTGTGCAGATCAGAATCTGGGCACAGTGTGGCTCATCTGTTTCTCAACTCCACGGTTCGCAAGGCTGAAGTCAAAGTGTTGGCAGGGCTGCCTCTTTTCTGGAAGCTGCAGGGCTGAAGCCACTTCCAAGCTCACTCAGTTGTTGGCAGATTCCAGTTCCATATAGTTGTAGAATTGAAGTTCCTGATTCCTTGCTGGCTGCATCAAAACGAGGGGTCTTTCTCAGCTTCCTTTTCCTGTCCCATGGAAGGGGACAGGAAACTGTCCCCTCAGTTGCCTTTATCACCTGGCTTGTGACCCTCTTCAAAGCTCACAGTGGCAGGCACTTGGAATATTTTTGTCCTCTCGGCTATCTTCCCTCAGATCTCTGACTCTTCTGCTTCAGCTGCTAATTTAAGAACTTGCTATGGTTTGGGTGGTAAATGTTCCCCAAAGACCAATATGCTTAAGGCTTGGTCCCCAGGATGCCACAGGGTGGTGTTGTGGAACTTTAAGAGATAGGGTCCAATGGGACATTCTTAGGTCCCTGGGAGTGTGCATTCAAAGGGATAATGGTATCCTGGTCTCTCTCTTTCTCTGTTCTGGTTCTAGTTATGACATTACACCTTTACAAACTGTACAATGTGCTGCCATCCCCTGCCCTCACCAAAGGTCACTTGATCTTAGACCTTGAATCTTTCAAACTGTGAGCTAAATGAACTTTTCTCTTTATAAATTTAGCTTCCCCAAATATTTTACTGTAGAAGCACAAAGCTAATTAATACAGAGTTCATGTGATTCTGTTATACTCACCCAGGTGGACCAGGATGATCCTTCCAATTTCACGTCAGCTGAGCATAACCTTCAAACCACTTGTAAGTATCCTTCACAGCAGTTCTGAGATTAAATGATTGATTGAATAATCCGGGAACAGAATTTTGAGGGGCCAGATTTAGAGTGACACCTACTGCTGAATGTCTTTGGGAAATTAGGCCCAAAGAGCACCAAAACTGACGATAAAACTCAGTGATGAAAGAGAGCTGCAGCAATAAATTGGTTACTCCCTACTCAGGAAGCCCAGCTCTGGCCAAAAGCTGGCGTTTCATAACAAAGAGAAAGCACAGGGTGTTCACATGGGCAACTGTGGAGGCAGGGCACTGTCTGAGGCCGCCACTGTCAGTATGATCTCAAATAGCAAAAGTGGGGCTCCACCTCAGGCATAACAGGTGCACACTGCTGAGTGCAGGTGTTTGGTCTTAAGTGTATCATAATTTGGAAAGTCTTAATTAACCCCTAAATTTCAGGAAATCTGTTTTGGTGAACTGTATTCTCAGAAAATAGTAAAGAAAATGGAAGTAAAAAAATTTTTTGTAATTGCTCAGTTTTGTATATCAAATGTCTTTTTTTTTCCTGGTGGTAGTGGTGGCGATGGCTTTGTACATGCTAGGCAAATGCTCTACCACTGGGCTACATTCTCAAATGTGAGTCTTTTAATGAGTATTTCTAGAAAACAGGGAAAATCATTATATGTGATCACATTCATGGTCACAGCCAAATTTTCTACTAGATTTGAAAAGTGGAATGCATGCTGACTTGTGGGGTCCCATGGACTGTGTGGCCACATGGACTGCAGGCAGGTGAGTCTTTCTTGATCTCCTGAGGCCAGATCTTCCTTCCATGGGACAGGGAGTTGAGACTGGCTGGGGAACAGGTCCTCTGGACACAGAGGATGAGGCAGCTTCTGTTCTGCACTGGGTTGATGGACATGTAGCCAGCATTTCCACTTTGAGTTCTTGGATTCCTGTCAGGGCTCAGCATACAGCCTCCCTACAATCTTGAAACACTAAGAACTGCAAGTTTTGTCACAGCCCTGGCAGTGGTGTGCTCTTCCTTTCCTGTATCCTGCCTCCAGACACCTGCCATCACCTTGTGGTTTCTCACAAGGAGCCTGGACAAAGGAGCTACTCCCATTCCCTGGGCTTGGCCACTCTGTCTTCTAAGCACTTTTCCACAGCCACTCAACACTACAGTAGCACCCACACTGCTGAGTGCTTCTGATTTAGGTCGTCTTGCATGTTTAAGAGGCTGTGGGAACAGTGCTCATGATCTTAACTGTAGAGTTCAACAGACCTAGGTACACACACACACACACACACACACACACACATCCCACACAGATTCTATTTCCTAGCTAAGTGTAATTCTCATATCATCAGTAAGCTTGTCTTTTAACATGACATTACCTTCCTCATAACACTGGTGTGATTTGCTCAACATTCACCCAATATACAGCAGGTGCCTACACTACAATAGGTGCTGGGTGGGCAGGAATGGGCAGGAAAAGGAAAAGCTGGCAATATCACAGGATCCAGTCTAGGGTGGACCTTCATTGCCCAGTCATGAGTCTTAGCCTTGATCCTCAGCATGGTAGGAAACCACTGGGAGCTTCAATTGTGTTGAGGGTTGGGGTGGGTAATGGAGTGTCAGCTCCATCTGGATAAACACTGTAGCCTCTGTGTTGGGAGATGGGAGACAAGACAATTGGAGGCAGGGGTGCTACACAGGGATTAGCAAGGATTTTGCCAGTAAAAGAAGAGGCCTGAGTTAAGTAATATGAAGAAAAATTGGGGATGGCTTGATATCTAGGTGACAGTAGCTGTTGGCCTGGGTTACTAATTTTGTAAGTGTGCATACCAGTGTGTAAGGGTCTATGTGTATGTTGTCATGCCACTTGGAAGAGACAGTTGGAGGACTGCAGACAATGATAAGCTGAAATTGGGAGATGCTAAATTCCATGTACCTGGGAGATAGCAATCAAAAACTGTAGCAGACTGGGCATCTGGAACTGAGCAGAGATCTAGACTGAGGATGAAGATTTTGGAATTTAGGTTTTCAGTGATAAGTGGCAAAGAATTGAGAGACCAGATGGGGCGGAATTAATGTCTCAGATTCTGTGTCTATTTGGCATCAATTCATTACAGGACTGATTATATTAATTATATTCTTTTATTCCCTACATACCTGATGCTCTGATACTTGAAGTCCTTACAGACTGGAATGAGGCTGCACTCCCAGGCTACTTAGTTCCCAGAGATAATAGGATTCTGCAGCGTAACCTTTGTGTGAAAACTGAGGAATTCACTGTTTGTACTCCCAACCACCTCTTTATCTAACAAAGGTGCCAATATCCACCATTCCCCTACTATCCTAGGGCTATGTCCTAGGCAACTACAGACCACCCCACACCTCTAAGCTTACTGAAACTATCTAATTTAGTCAATCCTAAATTGTTCATGTGCTTCCATTTTCCCCTTACTCCTATCCATGTCTTCTGGTCCTGAGGTTCCTTGTGGCCCTGTGTAGTGCTACATGTCCCTATCTCCTGAGAAACATAAAAAATAAATTCTTCTTTCAGTGGCATTGGCCTTTTTATATAAGCACTTAACCAAGTCTCTAGCAATTTAATTCCAGGTAAACTTTGTTTCAATTAAGACTGAAGTGTAGCCAGGTGTGGTGGCTCATGCCTATAATCCCAGCACTCGGGGGCTGAGGTAGGAGGATCGTTTTGAGTTGGAGACCAGCCTGGGCTACAAAGTGAGCTCAAGGCCAGCCTGAACTGCATAGCGAGACACTGTCTCAAAAAGACAAAAAAGAAAAGAAAAAAAGATTAAAGTGTAAAAGAGAGAAGCAGTCTTGAGGGTTTAGTACTTTCTCTACTTATTAAGAAGGTTCAAAATGTTTCTAAATGGCCATTTTCCAGGGGTGTGGCTGGGCACTGAGAGATGATGGCAAATCAGAATAACCCAACTCCCCTTCCCCAGCTAGAGGCTGTGTGTGTGTGTGTGTGTGTGTGTGTGTGTGTGTGTGTGTGTGTGTGAATGTGGAGGGGTAGGTGGAACACTTTCAGGGCTTTAGAGCTGAAAGTGGACCCTCAACTTTCTATGATCTGAAAGTTGTGACTATTTGGGAAGAGACTACATGGAGCGACTGTGCTACTGGGTATGAAGTCAGAGATGATGGTTCCATGCTCGAGGCTTGTGACATGCTGCCCACCAAACCTGAAGAAGTTCGGGGTTGGAGCCACTCCTGCCATGAAGCCAGGTCCAAAGTATTATCTCTAATCATGCCCATCAGTTTGTGCCCTTATGAGGCCACCGCAGGCCACAGAAGTCTGCAGGAGCAGTGCTCATCTTGATTTAGATTTTATCTGGGGCTGCATTCACAGCTGAGATTCAGTCTTTTCCAGCAATTTATACTTGCTTTGCCCCTACTGATCTGCCAGGTTTGTGAGACTTTACCACCCTCTGCATCAATCTCTTGCCTTCCAGCTGGATGGCAGGGGGCAGGCAACGAGCTGCTACTGCACTTCAATCCCTACACCTGTGGCTTAAGTCATTAGTGGGATTTTGGAAGGGAATAAAATGCATTAAATCACGTGGAAGACTGCAGTCATCAATCTGTCTGGTCCACCTCCTTCACAGGACAGTCACAGGGCTAACAACTCAAGAGACAATGAGATGTGTCTGGCTGGTACTGGTCTTGTTCTAGCTGCCCAGCTTTGTGACCAGTGAGAGGTTGGTCAGCCTGTTTGGAAACCCTGAGGAGGACAGCAGGTCAGGTTATGGTCAGGATTGGAAACAGCCTCCCCAGTTCCTTATTTGTCAAAAGCTTCTTCATTTTTTCAAAAAGCCCTTCATTTTTATCCTTATCATGGTTCTATTCTGGTGGATGTCTCCCAACCCACAGCAGAATCTATTTTCATTCTTAGACCCAAAAGACAGTATTATCTCTGCCATTACTCCTGTAGGAATACTCTCTTGAACTCCTATTATCTATCTATCTATCTATCTATCTATCGCTCATTTTTCTATCTACTGGAATTAAACCCACGGCTTCCACATTGAGCTATATCTCCAGCCATTTTAAATTTACATTTTGAGACAGGGTCTTGCTAAATTGTGCAGGCTGAACTCCAACTTGCCATCCTCTTCCTCAGAGTGCTGGGTTTACAGGCATGTGCCACCACATCTGGCAATGTGATTCCTCTGTACAGACAAACATTGGGGGATTTTCACAGATAAGAGTTATACTTTCAGTGTCCACTGATCGAATGGCAGAAAGCACATTATGAAAGACAGATAAATAGCAATGGGGAGAAGTTCAAATTATTCCCCAAATTATCTATTTTTCTGTTTCATAAATATTTTAAGATATATGCTAATTCATTTCATTTATACTACTACTTTCTTTTGTTTATTGAAAGGAAAGTTTTGGCTTTTTAGTTTCTGTTTCTTCTTTGTAAGAAAGAATCTTTCTTTGTCTATGACTTGCACTCTGAGTAACATCCTGGCCATTCTTTTCATATCACAGTTATATAATATATTAGCTGTTGTTATTCACTATTTTGTGATGAAATTTTGATTTATTTTTTTCAGAAAAATCATATTAATGTACAAATTAAATTGTAATAAATCATCATTTTAAAGTAAAAATTTAAAAGCACACTATAGGTTCTGAACATTCTTAGTGGTCCTGTATTTTATCAATTGTGGTGGCTTTTATATACACTTAAAAATATGTATGGAATATGACTGACACAATACAGTCAGCTCTGTATCAGTTCTGCATCAGTGGATATGGCCAATCAAAGATGGGAAATATTCAGAAAATTGCCCCTGGGACAACCCACTTTATGGGTCCTTCTGTTTCTCTTAGACAAAAGCTAGCTTTCCCTCGATAAATATATCTTGGAAATAACTCAAATGCCCATCAACTGAAGAATGGATTTTTTAAAAAGATGTATAAAGACTTTTTATACATCTTTAAAAGATGTAAAAAGATGTTTTTTATACAGTGGAATACTACTCAGCTATAAAGAAAGACCACATTGAAGTTTTTACAGGTAAATGGAAGCAACTTGAGACCATACTCATAAGTAAAATAAATCAAACTCACATGTATAAATACTGCATTGTATATCTAATATAAGAAGCTGAAAGAGTAAATAAGATACAAAATCTTCAATAAATATTGTGAAAAGGTAAGAAACTGCTCAAAGAGGAAAAAATAACTCAGGGAAATGGAGAAAATAAGGAAGAGAAAAGAAATAAGATATAAATTTGTATATATACACTTAAGATTACTAAGATTATTGTATTACTAATTCTATTAGCTCTTGGAACAAAACAGTTAACATTCATAGGATTAGATTAATTTTGCATGACAGTATCTGGTAATTCAAGTAAGACTGTTGAAGATAACTATGCAAAACAACAAAATTTGTTATGCTCCTACCATCTTGTTTTGAAAACCTACATTGTTACTGTTTGGGGCTCTTAGTTGTAGTTATTTATTTATTGTTTTTCTTTTTTCTCTAATACAGAAAGGATAGATGTACATGTATAGGCTTATATATGCCTAGAACTTCACCTAAAGGATTTACAAGAATTGATTTTATGTGTAATAGTATGAATAGCAATACTTAAGTAGGGGCTGGGGATTTAGCTCAGCGGCATAAGCGCCTGCCTTGCAAGCAGCCAGTCGTGAGTTCGATCCCTGGTACCGATAAAAATGTAAAAGACCAAAAAAAAAAAAAAAACAATACTTAAGAAAATGAGACATCATGGTAGCCATTGATGACTTCCTATCATATTTTTTGAAGTCCGATAATGGTTTTATTCGTGGTTTTGATTGGTTTTAGACCATTTTCAATTATTTGATTTTAATATATATGAAGATATGGACAGCTATTTTAAAGAAAACAAGAGACATTATGGTAGGCATTATTAATTTCCTACTGTCTAGTTTTGAAGACCAGTAAGGCTCTCATTCTTTTGTTTTGATTGTTTGTGTACTATTTGGTTTTGCATTAACTAACTGTATGTGAAGGTATGGAGAACTATTTCAAAGAAAACAAGAGACATTATAGTAACCACTGTTGATTTCCTGTTGTCTTGTTCTGAAATCCTATGTTATTTGCATTTTTTTGCTCTGCTCTGCTTTGTTCTCTTTTGCTTTGCTTTGTTTCATTCTCTTTAAAATAAAAATAAATAAATATATCCTGCTCTTAACCTCTGTTGTTCCCTAGAATTCATTCTTTGATTTTGGGAAACAAAAACTCAGAGCATCAGACATCTAGCAGGTTGGAAATTATAATATTTCCCTTGTATTTTTTGGATTACTTGGAGGGCCCACCAAGATAATTGGATGTAGGTAACAGTTTGCTTTTGTTTCATAGACCCTTCCTATCTTATATCCACCTTGTGATTTTGCTCTATAAAGCTTCCCCTGAGAAATGGGATCTACAACAACCCACTTTCTTGGTTCCCTTCTGTCTCTCTTTGATAGAAGCTATCTTTCCCTCAACAAATATATCCTACTCTTAAAAAATTGCATCTGTTCTAAAAAAACACACTATTTTCACCATGATTCCCTAAACAGTATAATATAGCACCTATTTACATAGAATTTACATTGGATTAAGTATTACAGGTAATCTAGAGATTATTTAAATGATACAGGAGGATTTTATAGGTTATGTGCAAAGCCTACACTATTTTATATAAGGGACTTGACAAGTAATCACCATACTTATGATGCAGAAGAGTTTTACCATCCCCATGCTCACTCTGTGCTCCTGGGAAGTCAACTGTTTCCTGGACTCTCAGCTCCTAACTACTCATCTGCTTTTGTTCATAATAACTTTACCTTCCTAGGATTTCACATCAGCGAAATTTTCTTCCTCCTCCTCCTCCTCCTCCTCTTTCTTGTCTTTTCTCTCCTCCTCTTTTTCTTTCTTCTTCTCCTTTCTTCTCCTCCTCCTCTTCCTTCTCCTTTCCCTTCTCTTTATTCTCCTCATTCTTTTGTACTCCTGGAGATTGAATCAAGGCTCTTACTCATGCTAGGCCAGTATTCTACCACTGAGCTATATTCCCCAGCCTTTTTAAAGAAGGCTTTGCCAAATATAAGGTCACAAAGTTTTTTTTCCTAAAGATTGTAGAATTTTAGCTTTTACATATGTGTTTTACATATGTTTTTGATTGTGGTCTGCTGTGAAGTTTGAGCTCATTGTATTGCACATGAATGCCTATTGCAAAAGATTATGCTTTCCTGGCACTTTCACTGAAAGTCAGTTGACTATATATGTGTGAGTGTATTTTTGGACTCTGCTTTTCTAATAGTCTGTGTCTAGATTCTGGAGCTTTCTACTTTCTTGGAACCAGGTATCTTAAGTTTTCCAACTAGCTTTTTGTTTTGGGTTTGGTTTTTGATACAGGATCTGGTTATATAGTTCAGGTTGGCCTTGAAATCACTACGTAGCTTACGCTAGCCTTCAGCTCATGATCCTCCTTTACTAGCTGTTTCCATTGTGCTTCTAAGTCTGGTGGTTGGTCTTTTTCACGGGAAGTGAATACAAATCTTGCTCAAGGCATTGCATGGTGACCTCAGTGCATAGTATTCTGATGTGCAAAACCAGGCTCTAGCCCAGTCTCTATTATCCCCAAAACCAGCGAGCTCCTGCTATCAGTGGCGTCTTGCTTCTGAGCTCCTAGCCTAGTGGACAGGGTTCTGCATTGGAGAGCACAAGAAATGTGCCCCTCTGCCTCAGTCCCTCTAGCCAGAGGTTGCTTAAGGTTATTAGACACTTTCAAATCTAGGTATAGGGCCATCTAGCAAATTCATACTGTCTGAACAGATGTCTAACCAAAGACTAAGAGGCCATCTCTCTTTTATAGGCATCTAAAGAGCATCATGAAGATGTGCACACAGTGTTGCACACTGCAATCCCAGAACTCAGGATGAGGTAGGTGGAATGCAAGTCTGAGCCCAGGCTGGGCAATTTAGCAACTTAGACTGTCTCAAATGAAAAACGGGGATGTAGTTCAGTGCCAAGCACCTAGGTTTAGTCCCCAGTATTGAAAAAAGATACTGGTAATTCCCTCAGAACTACTCTGTTGGCATCAGTAACAACAAGGCACCCTCCCCAGTTCATACCCACAGGCTGCTGAAACTCTTGTAGTATTTCTCCTTGCTTCACCTGTCCCCAGTTGTCCAGTTACGTAGGTCCAGGGTAGGGTGGTAGCCACGGGGTGGAAGTATTGGCTCTGCAGCCCTACAAGGAGCTCTGGCTGCGTCTATATTAGGGATTCTTATTACCATGGGAGAGGATAAACGCCTGTGGGTCCTCATCCTTTGTGACCTGACTCATAAATTCCAGGGTAACAGGAAAAGGCCCATTAGGCACTCCATTACAAACAGTTCTAATAAAAACAGTAATAATAACACCAAAACCACTCATATAGTGTTTGTTACAGCACGTCTTCCTCTCTACTGTTATCAACACATGCACTCTTTTTAACAGCACAGATTGTAAAGTGGGATCATTAAGCTTTTCCAGCTGAGGAAACTGAACACAAAAGAGGTAAATACCCAAGCTCACAGAGCTGGCTCTGGGTGGAGTCCACACTGCCAGGCGCTCCACCGCGGGGTCCTGCACCCAGGAGCTCAAAGAGAACTGCATTCACAGCATTCACAGCTGTGCAAGGAGAATGCGGTCCGCTGCATGTTCGGCTGAAACGAAACAAGGCCTACGAAGTGAGAGGTCGTGAGAAGACACAGACCTGGGGTTGGGCTGCCTGTGACCCCTCCTCCCCAGCCACAGTTGGCAAAGATGGCCGTGGAGTGGGAGCCCTCAGGTTCTGACCCTGTGGCACTTGGCTTATTTATCCTTCTACAGGGAACACGGCTGCCATGCACTGGATGTAGAGAGGGGACACAGCCTCCTTGTGGTCCCTCCAGCTCCTCGAGCTGCCCTCCCGTGCACCTAAGAGCGCTCACAGCCACAAGAGCAGGATGTAGAACCCTTACTTTAGAACTTTTCAGTCGCCCTGCCTCCTGCCTGACCCACCAGGACCTGCTCCCCAGGCGCAGCTGCAGGACCCAGGAGTCACACAAACTCTCAGGAGAAGGGGTGGTGTTATGTTGCGTGCAAGGTGGCACCCAGAAGCACTGCTGGCTCAGGGGAGCAGCTACACTGGTCCCCTTCTTGCACATGCCGGGCGGGGTGCGGGGGCGGAGGCCTAAACAACAGTTTTCCCCAAACTTTCGCCTCTGCTGAGCAGGAAAGAAGAGAATAGTCCTAGTGCGGATGGGGACGGTGAAATAGCAGCCGTGGAGCTCCAAAGCTTCTCCTCGCCGGTCCCGGGTTCCTTAGTGCTCCTCCACGCACTCAGTGCCACGGATAAATAAGATTTATAATCAGAAGGTCTAGGTCCAGTGTGGCTCTGGGCCAGGCACGTCGCACTCCTGGAGCTCTTTATTCCCATTGTGAGATAGGAGAGTGAGCAAAGTGTTGATCACTGCCAATTATTTAATTAAAGGAAACGAAACGTTGCCCGAATGACTCGCAGCACGCGCTCGCAATGGGCACTGCAGCCCAGTGCCAGGAGGGCTGGGGGAGAGTTGTGACCAGGTGCCTAGAATAGTAGGGGACAGAGTGGAAGCAAAGGGTGAGTTCTGAGAGGGACGAGGGGGTGCTCAGCGCAGGTCCTGGCGAGGAGATCTCCTCTGAACTGGATCCGAAGCATGAGATGGGAGTCGGGTGCTCCAGAGAAAAGGGGTGCCTGAGAAAAGGAGGTGCCTACCGAGGTCTGGACACAGCTGCTAGACTGTGTTCAGGGTGCTGGGGAGTAAAGATGGCCTTGGAGGAGGAGGTGGGAAAGGACCATAGAGCACTTTTAAAACCCCTTTCACCTGCATGAGGAAACGCTCTTCTCTGTGATTTGTTTTAATAGTCACTCTGGCAGGAACCAGACTGAAATGGTAATCATACAAAGAGAACACTGGGGGAAGGAAGTTCGTCTCATCCTTCCTGAAGGATGAGCGCCTGAGCCTGGGAGTGGAGCAGGAAAAGAGAAGGAAACACGATTCCAGAGAGTTCAGAGATGATCAGACTTTTGTGGCTCCACTGGAAGTGGAGTGTGGGATGACCGCTGTGTTTGGAAAACTGGGTGCTTGCTCACCACCATGTGCTGCCTATGTTTGTTTGGACATCCTTAGTAATCATGAAGGAATTTAAGTGTCTATCAAGTGCAGGCTTTGCAACCGGCATTCAGCTCCCAAAGATTAAAAAAAAAAAAAAAAGCCTAGCCTCTGCTCTCGAGGTGTTTGGAGTTGGATGGGCCATACCTAGGTGGTTATATCCTAGTGACGCAGAGATGTATGTGTCCCTACTCAAGGTAGAGTTAGGCTGGAGGCAGGGAGGGCTTCCTTGAGGACCTGGGGCTCTGGGAAATGGGAGCCCCCAGGTCGTATGGATGAGGGGCCCCTAGTTCCAGGGAATCTGTGCTGTTCTCTCTGGTGTGTGAAATGGGAAGATTGAGTTTCAGTCTCTAAGAGGGTAGGCAGCTATAGCGAGACAGAGAAGTCTAGTTTAAACCTGAGTTTTGGATGGCTTACCCTGATGCATTGTGGAGGACTTCCCTCGTCTACGAAAAGGGGAGAAGTTCACAGGAGGAAGTAGTGGTAGGAATATTGGCGAGAGGGACAGCACTGAATGTGGCAGGGGTAGTGGGAGCAGGAAGGGCACAGGGAGTTCAGGAAGGGGACTGTGTGAGCACTGGGGGACAGACGGCGGATGTGAATTCCATCTGACACACCAGGCCCCTGGGACTCCCAGTGGAGATGCCTAATTGGATGGCAATAGCTAGCCTAGTGGTCTTGGGGTCACTCATTGAGCTTGGTGATCTTGGCTCATATGAAAAATTGGAATGACTGGAACTGTTATGTTGTAGCGATTCATTTGACAAATAGTTTACGGAGCACATGCCAGTGTTGTAGATACGAGGATACAGCTGGATACAGCTGGGTACAGCTGGATTGCAGCAGCATAAAATACATGAAAAATGTGGTTTGAGCTAAAAATAAAGCACATAATTAGACACAGGAATTTGGCTATCGTCCATAATAATGAACATGGAAAATGGGAAAGTGGGCAGTGAGTGAACATGCATCCCCAGCTACAAGGCAAGACACAGGATGGCTGTTTGCACCTCCCTTTAAATGCCAGACATTGAACCCATGGCCTCACACATGCACATATTAAGCAATGCTCTACCACTGAACTATAGCCCCATGCCTGCATCTGTTTGAACGTCCTCAACAAAGCATGTTAAATGACGGTTTGGGCTCTCTTTTGCCAGTCCCATGACTTCCAGGGCTCATCTGTGTGTTTCTGGACAAGATAGAGACAAGATTGAGATAGACAGCAAGATGCCCATATGAGTTCAACCATCTGGATCCTTCATCGTGGGTCTCCTAGGACCACCAGGGCTGAAACTCTCCCTCTTACTTCAGGCCCTCTCTTCTGGATACTGATGCCCAAAACATAAGTAAGTACTGTTTAAGGGATGTGTATTTGCTGGATTGGTAAGTGTTGAGCAGCAAACTTTATTGTGTCTTAATAAATGTAAAATGTCTATTCCTCAGAATAGGTTAGTTCTCTTGTAGTTGTTAAAGAATAGGGCTTGGTTGCTGGGTGAGGTGGTAAGCATCTGCAGTTCCAGCTACTTGAGAAGCTGAAGCAGGACAATCACTTGAGCCCATGAGTTTCAGAAGTATTAGTCAGATCAAAATAATCAGCAAATTTATATTTTTAATGAAGTAAATAAATAAATAATGGTTTGCGTTGAGATAACTTATAAATAAGTCTGGAGCTTTTATTCACAATTTTTAACCAAGTTTAAAATCTTCAGAGACTAAGGGTTGGGGACTTAGCTCAGTGGCATAAGTGCCTCCCTTGCAAGCACACAGTCATGAGTTCGATCCCTGGTATCAAATGCAAAAACAAACTTCAGAGGCTAATAAAATGCCATTACTATCTACCAAGTACTTAGTAACCACAGTGCTCCCCATGTATTTTCTTATTTATTTCTCACAACTTCCCATGAGTCAGATGTGATCATGAGCATCTCTCTTTGGCCAATGGTCACTTGGGGTAAGTCTAGATCGAGGTGGATCAAAGTGGAGTAAGTTTGGGATACAATGGGGTAAAGCTGGAGTAGGGTAGAGTGGAGTAAGATGGGGGGAAGCAGGGGTAGGGTGGGATAAAGCGGGAGTGAGATGGAGGCAGGTTGCAATAGGGTAAAGTTGGAATAAGGTTGGGGTAAGGTGGAGTATGGTGGGGTACACTTGTCCAAGGTCATTCATTTAGTGAGAGGCAGATCGAGGTTTTGAACTCACTGTATTAGACCCAGAACCTTAGCTCTTGAAGGCTAGGCATTGCCATTTATTTTATTTGACTTTAAGAGTTGAGACTGTGTCTTTGCACACATTCTCTTATCCTCCTTGTTCAAGTTCAAAATGAGGCAGCTTTCTTCCTTCATTTGACCTAAAGGCTTACCTGCTGGAGATTTGAGAGAATACAAGTTGTATTGCTTTGCACTGCTTTAGCTGAGGGAGTAATCAGTGTTAGCTTTGCCCTCTGGAGGATGGCACAGCAGCTGGTGGAGTTGGCATGGGCACTGGAGCATAGTTCAGAAGGTGGCCCTGGAGCAAAAACTCACTTTGGGTAAAGAACAACTTGATGACATGTGCTTAGAGGATAACTTTTCTAAATTCAGCTTTCTTCGTTTCTGAAAACTAGGATGTGATAGCACGATTGGGTTTCTCAGATTCTAGCTTATTCTGGGAAGGTTGAGGCTCATCTACCTTGCTTATTTCTCTTACTGAACACCTTCTCCTGGGAGCTCTGGTCTCCAGGAATCTCAGCTGAAGGTGACAGAGATGGAACCCAGCTGGCCCATGTGGTAGAGTCTGAGGCACCCTTGGAGGAGGGGATCAGGAAGAAGAAGGGTGGCTAAGGAGCTGGTTGAGTGTGGGTGACCAAGTCTGTAGCCCAGTGGATAAGAGCAGGACTGACTCTGTCAACCTCGATTTTCTCTGCAGCAGATTTGGTGGAATGAGGCAACTGGAAATGGTTGTGTAATCTGGCTTAATAAGCAGGTAAGGCATTGGCTATAGTAAATTTCTGGATTCTTGAGCTTTTAAAGAAAACTTTTCAAGCACTTTTAAAGTTTTGATGAATAAAAATAGAACTCATCTCTTAAACCTAGTTTCCTTTAGATGACATTGTGTCTCTGCCGGTTGGACTTTTGCCTGAAATGACGCTAATATACCATGAGCCCACCAGAGCAGTGGCTGCCAAAAATAACAGCTGTGAAATGATTTGTGACGCTGTTCAGCAGAAACATATTTGTCCTTTTGCATTTTATGATCGGTAAGTGCTAGGAGTTATTATTTATAAATGTGCTTTACTCTCTTTACTGTATTTCTTCATTTTGAGATGGACACAGGAAAAATACCATCGTGTTTTCCTTCAGGTAGGAGTCATGCATTCAGGTCCTCTGACCACACAGACGCACTTTGTGCGTCAACCCTTGCACAAAATGAGCTTTCCTGTTTTTGTCATCGTGGTTTGTGCTACAGGGGCACTTTGTGTAGGAGAGAAAAATACCCTTAAGGAAGCTTCCAAGGAGGTTACTAGGTGCATGGTTCAGCCAAGTGAGGGACTCCAGGGGATGCACATCTTTGTGTTCACTCAGGGCGGGAAGGGTGTAACACACATTGGAAGAAACCCGGCTCGTGGCCAAATAACTTTACCACCTGAGGTATGAGGCAGTTCCGCCACATTGCCATTCCATTGGGCTTCGGCATCACTTCTTGAGAAACGGAGTCTGGGAAAGTACATAGCTCCACATGACACCATGCTACACAGAGAATGATTTCTAATTACGTGTGTCACGGGGACCCCGTGGCTTCAGACACACACGCAGAATTCCTCCTGTAAATGCATTTGTGTGGTAAAAGCGTACCTACTGATATACTGAATATTTTATGAATAAAACAATAAAAAGGAAAAGGAAAAAGAGGGCAGAAGGATGGACAGGTAAAACAGAAGAATGTTGTTAGTTATGGAAACCAGGCAACAGCAGTTCACGTCTCTTCTCTCTACTTTTGTATGTGGGAAAACATTTCCCAGATTAATAGTTTTTATGAATATGTATAATATTTGCCTTAGTCCATTTGTACTGCTATAAAAAAGATCTGTGACTAGATGATTATGCTAGGCTGCTTTGTCACTATAACAGATACTTAGGATAACTTCTATGGAGGAAAGGGTTAACTGAAGATGGTGGCACATGCCTATAATCCTGAAACTCTAGAAGGCTGATGTAGGAGGACTGCAAGTTCAAGCCCAGCCTGAGCAATTTAGTGACTAGTGAGACCTTGTCTCACAAATAAAAAATAAAAATAAGAAAAAGCAAGAGTAAAGTTCCTTTACTCTTGGATTGAATCCTTTGGTTCAATCAGCAGCAGGGCTGGTGGGATGGGTGGGGTGTTGAATTTGGCTCATCATTTTAGAGATTTCAGTCCATAATCAGTTGGCCTACCATAGTATATCTTGCTGTCTTCACAACAGTTGTCTATTCCATTAGGTAGAGCAAAATCAAACAAAAAACAAAACAGAATAAAGCCAATTAAAACAGAATATTGAATAAAGCAAAACAATTAATCAGAACAAAGCAAAACTGTGAGAACAATATTGGATTTCAATGACATTTCAATGACAAGGTAGAAGGAAATCCTCCACATTTGCTATATTGCATACTGTCATCCTGTCCCCAGTCCTGTGGGGGAACCGCTGTCCCCAGTCCTGTGAAATCAAACGAACAACACAAGCGTGTAGTTGCTTTATGTACCTTAGTTGCTATCAACTCAGCCTGTCCTCCAACCAGCAGATTGCTTAGTGGGAGGGACTTGATTCTTAGCCTGTGCGCTGGTAGACTCACGGGAGGTGTTATCTGACTTTTCCTGGAACCCTCGTGGCTTACCAGAAAGGCTTCTTCTTGGGTCCTCCCAGTTCCAGAATGGCTGATTCTTGGCAAAACTGATTCTTAAATGTAAGAATGATTCCAATTTGTGAAACCAGTGTGAGGAATTCCCTTGCTTCCAAGTCACTCTCAGGACCTTGTGTCACCTGTGACCAGGCTCTGCTTGTTTTCCTTCAAAACATCTTAACAGCTCTGCTGTTGTCTCCTTAAGATGGCAATACACAGTCAAAAGCAACATTCCCATGTTGTATAGTGACTTCCCCAGGGTCTCTTGTTCAGTTTGGGCCACCACTGGTTTCTGATTTTGTTACAGCTTTGGATGATATGATGGTCACTGTGGCCAGAAAGGGGCTTGACCTAAGATGTCACAGGAAGCATCTCAGACCACCTCCATGTGAATATTGGAAGTCTTGCCTCTGCTGTCCCCTAGGAGACCACTAAAGGAAAAGAGGCTTTTCCATGTCATGCAAACACGGTTTCCACATCAGTTCCGGAATGCAGGGGAATTTCCCAGCCTCCGTGCTTTGAGGCTTGAGGAAGTCATTCACATTATGAAGCTGTGAAGCCTGATGGTTCTGGCAGGTATGAGTGGTTGCTAGAAGCTTCCTAGTTGGGAGTGTGGTTCTCCTGTGGGATGAACAGGAAGGGAAATGATTTTCTTGGCCATGTCTTCTGCCCCAATCACTTCTCTCTGAGTTTGGCAGGCACCTTACAACCAAACAACTTGCTGTGGCTTTTTAAGATTTCAGATTTTACCTAGGAGCTTCTGCCTCTCACTATGAGAGGATTCCAGCTCCTGAAAAGTTACCTCAAAGATAAGAGGATTTTCTTTGAAAACAACATAAGTGGCTTTTCTTTTTCCCAATGAAACCTCGACCTTTTCCAAACCAGAGATTTCTGTGTATATACTGATTGCAATTCTGATTTGTATATGATATTCTTCACCCCCTTCTTCTTCTGTTTTTTTTTTTGGCTTGGAAAGTCAATATTTATTTCATTTTTAACAGTAGTTTCCAGGCTGTATGCCCTGGTCTTTTTGGTCCTGGCTCTGGAAACTGTCAGCCTCTTCTACTTCTCTCTTCCTCCTCTATTGGTTTTGTTTTGTAGCATCTTTATCAAGATATAATTTACATATCATACAGTTCCGTCACTCAAAGTATGCAATTCAGTGGTTTTTTTTAAGTATCTTCACAGAGTTCTCCAGTTCTCACTGCAATCAATTTTAGGACCTTTGCAGCACGCCTGAAAGAAACCCTTGTATGCACTAAGCAGTCACGCCCAGTTTTGCCACCTCCAAGGCACCTGCTAATCCATTTTTTGTCTCTATTAATCTGACTTTTCTGGAAATTTCTTATCATTGGCATCACATGTCTCTTTTTGTTTTCAAGCTAGCAAGCCATACTGTTGATTTCCAAATTATGAGTGGCGGTCAGGTTGGCCCTAAAGGGGTCTGGGCAGGGTTGGTTCTGCTCTGCCTGGATGAGCCTGTGAGCTAGGATTTCCCAGGGCTGTGTCTTCAGGGCCAAGTGTCAGAGGCAGGACACAGAGCAAGCTGGACCTAGATGAATCATAGCCACCCCTGAGAGCTTTAACAAAAGCTTTAGGGCACTGGGCATGGTGGTACGGTTCGGTGGGAATTTAGGGTGGTCAGTAGTGATCAGGGCAGCAGTTCTGTGGAACCTCTGGCCCCTGTAATCTTGAAAGACTTGGAACTTGAACTCTCTTGTCTATGTGTCTTGGATCCTGTTCCCCAAAACAGAGACACTTCTTGAACGCTATACCCAGCCTGAAATGCCTCCCACTGGTAACGTTACCAATTAGACTTTGAGTGAGAAAAGCACTTTCCTAAGCTTCTCTAGAAGGTTTTGACATTATTTTCATTCATGTTCATCTTAGGGTGAATTGTTTTATTTATTTATTTATAAATAGAAACTAAAATTTTATTGGCAAATTACACAAAGCAAGCACAAACATATATATAAATGCATACATAAGTATATATTTAATATTATGTACATATCCAAGGTTTTTAAAAAGGTTCCTATAAGGTTAAATTGTTTTAAACCAGTTACTTTCTTCTTAAATCCTTACATCTATTACAGGTAATGAAAGGCTGAGGATATAGCTCAGTGATAGTATCACTGAGAAGCTGAGCCTTGAGGAAATGAAGGGCTGGGTTCTCCCTTCCTTACTCCTGGATTCTTTAAATGCTCAATAAAGGAATTGAATCAAGATGTAGACAGTTGGGTGAGAGTACAGGTGGAATTTATTGTAAATATGACAGAGAGAGAGAGAGAGAGAGAGAGAGAGAGAGAGACAGAGTCATTCCTTAAGGTGAAAAGGTAGGCAGTATCGCAAAGACATCTGCCCCAAGTATGAGTTTGAATGCATTTTTACACACACAAAGGCTACTCCTGGGATTTGGAGAATTATGATGATCATCATTATTTTATTTATGTGACATGCATGTTTATTGATATTACTCGTAGGGATTACTTTGGAAAATCCATATCTTTCTTTCTTTCTTTTTTTTTTTTTTTTTTTTTTTTTTGTTAGTACTGGGGATCAAACTCAACCATGCACTTGCAAGGCAGGCGCTTATGCTACTGAGCTAAATCCCCAGCCCCAAAAATCCATATCTTAAAAATGCCCTCCTTGTTTCTTTCAGGTGGTCAGGGTTCCCTCAGGGACCTTAATTTCGTAAGAATCTAAAGCAGGTCTTGGCCCAGGGCCTCTAAAGAATGCTCCCATTATAAAGGTATAGGCCACAGCACTGGTCAGACAGCGGAAGGAATCCACACACTGTGTAAACTTGATGCGTCATCGTGCTCTGTAGGATTGCTTTGGAGGTCTGAAACCTAACAAGTGATTAATAAGTGGATCATACATTGAAATCTTTCTTAACTATAACTGCAAGCCACACTTTTGGAACCATCATCTGCCCCATCCCCCACCGCCCCATGCTTTGTCCTGCAGGTTTGTTAATATTGGACTACCTCCTAACAGTGGAGCCTTAGCATGGCATACGCAAGGTCCTGTGTTCAGTCCCCAGCACCACAAAAATAAAGGTAATGAGAACTCCAGACTGTGGTCCTTGTTATGGCAAGTGCTGTGCTAGGGAAGCTTTGTAGGAAAAAGGAACAAAATCATGGGATTTACATCCAATGTCTTTCTTCCTAGTGTGTGCAAGGTAAGAAATAACTCCACAAATAATGTCACACCTCTGCTCTACAACCTGCTGTGGCTCTCGTCACTCAAAGTAACAGAGGCTGCACAGTAGCCATGCCCTGAACCAACTACTCACACTGGCCACTTGGTCCCTGGAAGAACAGGCACATCTCTGCATAAGGCCTTTGCACTGGCTAGTCCCTCTAAAATGGCCCCTGGCAGAACTCACTTCTCCCGAGACTGCTCAGATACTGCTTTTGCAGTTTCAAAGAATGGGCTATAGTAAGTATCTGTAGGAAGTGTGAAAGATTCTAGGATGAGAAGTTTCTGGCCTCCCTGATCCTCATTTCCTGTGGCCAAAAAGACAGTGTGGCTCCTTCATGCACCTGAAAGTTCTAACACATGGAAGTTTGAGAGAAATGGGGCCCTGGCAATGGATGTCTGCCACCTGGGACCTTGAGGTGGTGAGCCCTGTTTCAGGGTTAAAGGGCCAAGTGCCCTTCTCCCTACCTGGATCCTGAGGCCAGCCTTGCCTCCATCTTCCTTGACCTGGTCACTTGCCATCTGCTGGCTTTGAATAGGTTCCCAGCAAGGTTTGTTCTGTCTTCCTCAGCTCCTGTAAAACAACAACAAAAAGCAAAAGCAAATGGTGGTTGGGATGTAGTCAGTGAGCTTGTACGTAGGCAGGGTCCATCTCTCCCAAATACAGGCCACAGATTGTACCAGGACCCACAAGGCCTCTTGCCCAGTTGGCCTGGGCTCCCAGCCCTGCTGCCTTCTGCCTTGCTAGGCTCTGGCCTCAGCTCTACCTGTGATTTTCTATCTGCCCCTTTCCAGCTGAACACCTGCTTTCCACTGCTCTGATGTGACAGAAGAGGGCCCACCATCCTGGAACAGTAGTTTCTTAAATGTGCATTGAATGGACAAAAGCACAGAGTTCACTTATGAGATCTTTCAGGCTTAGTTCAGCTCTAGCTGGGTTGAGCTCTTATAAGCTGAGCACTCCCTCGTTTTCTTTAAAAGCAATATTAAGATTTGATGTTTATGGTAGAGTGCTTGTCTAGCATATGTGAAGCCCTTTGTTTAATCATCAGACCAAAAAGTCAATGAATGAGACACACACACACACACAGAGAGAGAGAGAGAGAGAGAGAGAGAGAGAGAGAGAGAGAGAGAGAGAGAGAATTAGTCTTCTGCTTGTAGTGCAGAGATCAAACAAGGCCTTAATGTTTGCTAAGGGAGTGCTTACCACTGAACTACCCCAAACCCCCAGTTTTCTTTTTAAAAACAACTTTATTATGGAAAAATACAAACGTATACGCAAATAGAATGATACAATGATATCTTTTACAACCTAGCTCTTGGCCACAGTGAATCCCAGTTCCATTAATACCATTTCATTGTCCCCAGCCTCCACCCCACCCTTGACATCATAGCATGCCATATATAAATACTTCAGTTAGTATCCACAAGGAAATTTCTAAAAGGAAAAGCTGAGGAGGGGATGAGCTGCTGAGGCCCACATTCAGCCAGGACCTGGTGGGCTTGCTCTGAATAGGGTCACAGTAACTGTCCCTGGTTGCCTGACACCGAAGTGAGACCAACCCAGCTCCATCAAGGCACAGGTGTCCTGCAGTCATTTCCTTCCTGTGTTGACCAGGGACGTGGTTACCAGCTTCCAAACTCTGGGGTGTTTTCCCTTTTTCTATTTCCTGTCACTGTTTTGAAACCCAGAGGAAGAGCGCATCCTCAATCTGATAACCATGCATTTACTATTAAAATTGACGTCATTTACGGAAGTATAGCCTGAGATCATGCATATTGATAATTTGAGGAAAGCTAATGTTCTGACAAGACTGCAAAAATCTGGGGGAATCTTCATTTTGATGTTATACACAAATTGTTTTCTGCTACACTGCTAATTGTTGAAAATGGTTTTCAATGGAATACTATATGGATTATGGAGATAAATTTAAATTGTATTATCTATATACATTATCACTGAAATAGAATGTCAAATCTTGTTCTTATTATTGATTATAAATTATCAAAGACTAGCTCTGAATGAACTGTTACTGTTTTTCTTTCTGCTTCTGAAGATCAAAATAAAAAAAAGTTTCTGCACAACAAATCAAAGTAAAATATGTTTTTAAAACCCAGAATCTTAGCTGGGGATTTAGCTCAATGGCATAAGCATCTGCCTGGCAAGTGTAAGGTTGTGAGTTTGATCCCTGGTACCAAAAAACAAACAAACAAAACTCAGAAACTTTTCCAACAATGAAAAAGCAAAATAGCCAGAGATGGTGGGGCATGCCTGTAATTCAAGAACTCGAGAGGCTGAGGTAAGAGAATCTATGTGAGTTCAAAGCCAGCTTGGGCTATATAGCGGGTTCAAGGTCAGCCTGAACAACATAGCAAGACACTGATTAAAAAAAGTGCAAATCAAAACCACAAGAAGGCCTGAAACAGCTCGGTTGTAGAGCTCTAGCATGGGTGATCCCCTGAGTTCAATCTGAAACACTGGAAATACACACACACACACACACACACACACACACACACACACACACACTTCATACCCCTTAGAATGTCTACTATCAAACAAAACCCAGAAGAGAGAAAATAACAATTGGTAATGAAGGTATGGAGAAATTGGAAGCTTTGTGTTTTGCTGGAGGAATATAAATGATGTAGCCACTGTGAAAAACAGTTTCTCAAGGAGAGC